GTACCACCCACACCCTTGATGGCTTGCATACTCCCTGAAATCTGGCTGGAGATCTTATTTGGTCCCTGGCTTTGCTGGTTCCCCCTATATCTTCAATTACAGCATCTCATGGCCTTTTGCTATTGGGACTTCTCCAGTATCTGAGCAGGGACTTGCCTGGCATCTTAAATTTTTAGATAACCACCATAGACCACTTAGGAACTTCCAAAGCTCTTTGAAGCTTCTCAGTGAATGATCCATGGGATTGGCATGAAATTGGAGGAGCATAGCTCCTTGCTGAGCTATTTAACAAGGACCTCTGACAAGGACCCAAGGGGATTAGGCAGACTCAACTGATAGGGTGGCTCTTAGAAGTCTGGAGAAAGCAATGGCCCACATGAGTGAAATTGAAATGCCTGAGCATCATGGATGAAATGCCTGAAATGCATCACGGAAGATAGGGGTGTGTGGTGGATGGGTTGAAGGGCTAAGAGAGGTGAGCGTGTTGGAATGTGCATATTATGTGAAGACACAAGACCCACCAGAAGCATATATTTCTGGGAGGGCTCAGAGGACATATCGTTTGTGAAGTACATCAGTAATGTGCTGCCTGAGAGGGGCATCAGCATCACTAAGAAATTCAGTGGAATCTTTCCTTGGCAGACCTGGAACTATACTTGGAAAGGTGGTTACAGAGTTTAGCAAGGAGGATGATAAGGCCCTGAAACCACAGAGACCAAGGGATGGCTCCTAAGCACCAGAAGCCAAGGACTACAATTGTTCTAACAGCAAGATCAGCAATACTTATTATTGTATTTTTTTGTCATTGAAATCTTGATGCATGTTTGTTATAGCAACTAGCATTCCCCTAAAAGAAAGCATTTCCTTAACACAGAAATTTCAGCCCTGAATTAGGATCCTGCCATAATAGAAACCTAATGTGTGTGGCATTAACTTAGATATTGTGTGCCAGGTGGTGAAGAAATATGAGGACTCCGGTTTAGAAAATAATCCATTTTTGAAAATCTGATGTTTTGTGCAAAGAAATCTAATCAAGAGACTATTTCTTATTTTGTCAAAAGGGAAACATTATAGTGAATTATATGTCACTTCTAAAACTCTGACCAATTTCTTAAAATAAAGCTAAACTTGGTAAACAAATTATCTTGCTCAAATCTAACAATTGCTTTGTATGTGGAAAGGTGTTTAGTTTGCATACTATTCATACACAAACTGATCTTCATTATGCCTACATATAATTCTGACATTCTATCAATTATATTTGGAATGAATCTTGAGATTTGCCTGAACTTTTTTCTATTGTTGCTTAAATTATTGTACTGAGTTTTGGCAACATAAATATATGTATTTCCACTAAAAATATAAGCTGAAAAATAGTTTCCTGGAGATATACTGTAGGTAGGAGCCCCATATCTGTGAGAGCACTCATGTGTTGTTTGCCTATTCCAAAGAACTCACCAGTGACCCAGTGGGTGGAGACATTGGTGTATTAGATTTATGAGAGTCACTGATGGCAGCTGGTCAGTGAGAAAATCCACACTGCCATGGGGTACACACAACAGTTATATAGTGAACAGATTAGAGTAGGGGTGTAAATCATTTTCAGGCTTATGTGCAGACCCTCACCCAGCTCACAAATCTGTGCATACCAAAATTAAGGCTATTGATGCTATTGCCTATGATCCTTTCTCAGATTGGCTTTTATCACTCAGTTCATTGTGGAAAAAAAGCATAATAAGAGTGGTGGTAGTGATAAGAGTGCTGTTGGGAGATCTGGCTGTGTAGATAACTATGTCTACTCTCTACTCTCCTGGTGCCAGAGTGCTTGTTCGTTTACTTAGGGTCTCTGCTCCCTCCAGTCCTCTGTCTTAATGGGGATGTGCCTTTCCTTGGATAACTTCCTTGGCTAGGGGTAGTCTCCCAGGGGGGAGGGGGAGCTATGTTATGCCTGGGAAGTGGGGAGTAGGGCTATGTTCAGCATTTATCCTACATTCCACCCCTACATATGACTATCCCACCTTCACAGTCTTTGCATCACATTAATCTTCCGCATATCACCTAGGGTGGAGTAGTGAATTGCTCATTGCATCCAAACACCACAAGTGCAGTGCAGTCCTCAAGTACCGAACAACAGCACTCCTATCACTACCACCACTCCTATTATGACTATTTTTCCAGAATGAGCTGAGTGATAAAAGCCAATCTGAGAAAGGATCATAGGCAATAGCATCAATAGCCTTAATTTTGGTATGCACAGTTTTCAGAGCAAGGGAGACATTGTAAGATAAATCAGGAATATACACACGCCATTCTGCTTTAATAATGGCACAGGTGACCCCTTGGGCAGCAGTAAGCATGTCTAGAGCCATCTGTTTCAAAATACTACTTTTCTAATTTGGGAGACTTCGTTATTCAACAAATGGATGGCAAGAGAATTGTCATTCAGAGCATTGGCAGTGTGGTTGGCTAGGGCTTCCACTGCCTTTTCAGTCACAATATTACCTAGTTGAGGAGAAAAAATTGCAAAGGGATAAGACCACCAGGGAGTGCATCTAACTTGCAGAAAATTCTTCCCAATCTCTAGGCAAATGGGGAAAGGTCATGAGCACTCTCCCAAGAATAAAGAGCCACCCTCGCATACATCTTCCTATCCAATTGTATGGGAGGTATGGTCATCCACATGTTCCACGAGCCCAGAGGGTAACCTGAGGCACATGATGTGCTCCCGCTTGTATGCAGCGAGCATGCCATCCCCATTGCTCAGTACCTGTAGGGGTCATAGTATTCACACATAATTCTTTGGGGGCCTATCCCACTTCGTGCATGGTTTCCTTATCTGTCCCATTCAACCTTTCTATAAGGAATGGGGCTGGTGCTTTGAATTGTATTTGCACTGCAATCAGCCAGACCACCCCATCCCACACTGAATACCCCAGGACAGGATGGGTTTGGTTAAGCTGTTCTTTAACTAGTGCAAATATTTCCTTAGTCTCATCATACCCTATCATGTGCTGGGTGGGATTAGCTGTTTTCTGGTTTTTTCACACTCATAGCCACGTCCATTCAGTCTAATTCACCGATCAATTTCCTTAGTCTCATCATACCCTATCATGTGCTGGGTGGGATTAGCTGTTTTCTGGTTTTTCCACACTCATAGCCACGTCCATTCAGTCTAATTCACCGATCGCATTGTCCATGGAAGACCCGATGTGACAGATAGCGGGAACTCCGAGCAGACCCATCAGGGCGATCTATTATGTATTTGGGCCAGGGTTGCAGCCCACTGAACCCAGGTGTTCCCCATGGTCATACTAGGGATGATAAGAAAGATGTTTAACAGATATTAAAAGTGGCAAGTCTGGCCTGGTGGCGCACTCGGTAGAGTGCGGTGCTTGGGAGTGCGGCGGCGCTCCCGCCGA